AAGATTTTATTACTTACTTTTAGGCTTTCGATGTCGAATCCGATTCAATATATAAATATGAATGTGCGAAAAGTAAGACTAAACAGCCGCACTTCCAAAAGCTGACAACGGAATAGTTCCTTTCACGATGAAAAACCAAATCCAGTTTAAAGATTGAATCTAAAGTCCAATTCACCGGGCTTTTGAAAATCATATTCTATATACCTAGCATTTGTTGCGACAACCATTTATATCTATTTATATCGAACTTTACTGTGACAATAATTGAGACGTCTCATATGTGTGCTAAGAGCTAAAGAAGTCATAAGATCTATAAAGAGTGTTTAAGATAGCAACGTTTTAATTAAGATATATATATATATATAAATTAATTTCTCTTTTGCATTTAAAACAGTCTCGTTTTTCACGAAACAGTGGATATGCATTTTTGCATTAATCAAAGAAGAATTACAGTCATGAAGACGATAGACCACAAACACTTGGACCACACATCAAGCTGCGAACAGCTGCGTTTGTCATAAATATATTCACATACTCAGCGCCTATATATGTACTCGCACATATAAGTACATACACATTTTTTTGCAACAAAATTTTTATTAAGTTCAACCCAACTATGAAAGTAAGTAAATATGTACATATGTACTCTTATGTTGGTATAAAAGCATGTGCTAATTCTTTCCTTTGTTTTAGCTTTAACTTTTTTTCATTATTTTTTTCATTATTATTTTTTTATTTATTTTTTTGCATTGCGTATATCTTTTCATCCTTAGTCACATGAACTTCACGCGCTTTTTTCTCATTTTGCTGACATGACAGTGACAGTGCAACATTTTTGTGCTATTCCATTTATCAGATGATGATTTTTTCATGTTTCGCTTCACTGGATTTTAGTTTTTCGCATCTTGGCTTGGAGGAGGTAACTAGTTCAACTCTGCGTATATAGACAATTGTTTGAAAATTTTGTTGGAACTTATAAAAGTTTGCTTAAGATTTCTAGGGCAGCTGTTATGTACCTCACTGATTTCAACTATACAACTGCCAGCTGAAGTCCTTGGAACTTGCATGTCTCCGATTATATGCTTGCTCATTCACACTAGATTTACGTAGGTCACTTTGATGGAACTGAAATTCTGCAATGAAACATCGCGAAAACCCCGTAAACTGTTTCAAATGGTTTCGTAAGCTTTCCACTATTAGCGGTCCATATGTGAGGTACCTAACTCTATAGTAATCGTACGATTATGAAGAAAATAATTCTCATATAAGATTTTCGCTTCGTTCGTCGTGCCTCCATAATGTATACGAAAACGGGTCGCGCTGCCTGAGTGACACCTTTGTATGCTAGGGAAATGTTACACTTCTTAACGCGGGAAATATCTCAAAACCAGGAAAGATATTCAGTATGAATGCTGTATTTACTGCGTACAAACGTTTCAGAAAGATGGTGGCAAAAGATTTCGGTTTTGGTAGAGAATCTCCACTCACTAAGGTAATGGAATTAGAGCGCAGCGTGTAAAACTTATGTCACCAAAATATATCTCTTTTATTTTTAATAACAACTAAGTACTTAGTGTTAAAGACTGTCCACATATACACACTTGCGTAAATTCATTAAAGGTGCTAGCCCCAGCAAAGAACCTCAATGTTTGTGGAATACATGAATTAAGGCGAAAAAAATAAATTGACTGTGACCTTCCACAAACGTCTTAAGAGAGCATGAACTGACAATAAATAAGGTGGCGCTAAGTATAGAGCGTGATTGGCAGGGATTTGTTCACTATGAGCTGCTACAACCTGCCGAAACGAAAAATTCTAAGCTCTTCTTACAAATATTATACAGCTCTCAACAAGCTCTTCAAAAAATATCGTCCAGACTTGATTAACGAGAATGGTGTTCTTACCACGTAGCACACACATATTTGTTAACTAAACAAAAATTGACTAAGCTTCATTGGAAAGTATTGGCTCATCCACCACGTAGCACAGTTCCTAGACCATCAGACTACCATTGGCTTTAGTCTCAGCAAAACTCTTTAGAAAGGAAATAACTAAACCAGACAAAATCTGCTGAAAATATCTCAGCCAAGTTCTTTGCCAAAAAACCACAGAAGTTCTACACTGTTGGAATTAAAAAGCTCTCCAGAAAATTGTAGAAGGGCATAGAAAATAGCAACCAATATATAAATTTGCCAAAAAGAATCAATCTTCTTTTTATCATATAATCAGCGAGTATTTCTTTAATTACCCCAAGTACGATTACCCCAAGTACGATCTTATGGGCATGGTTTTTTAATCACTGCAACTCACTGTGGAAATCGTTAAAATGGCAACCATGGGTACTAAAATAAAGTTATGCAGATCGAAAGAGATGAGAATTTTTATGTATTTCAATGGTTCAAACTCTAAGCTAAACCGTACCTAGTCCAGTAATTATTTTTTTTTAGATAAAATTAATTTTTTTTTAGTTTTCCCCTGTTGAACGAATGTTGCTCATACGACACGGCGGACTTGTAAACTTAGATAAACAATTCTTAAACTTAAATCACAAGTCTGCTGAGCTGCAGCAAAACACGCAGCTGCTCGAAGAAACATCTTTTGAGTATAAAGGATGATCTATTTCGAGGTGCCCTGCTTTTTTAATTCAAAACGTGAGAGAAAACATATATAATTGAAAATGTTGCTTATGATTCGAAAGCACATTCTTTAGCATTTATTTCTTGAAAATTATCTCTTTCAAATATTTGCCACTACAACGTCTCAAATGGTTCATTCTTTGCATTCTATTTTCAATGACTCGTTCAAGCATTTTGGACTTGATCTTTTGCTCCAAATGCTGAATCGAAGAGGAGCTGGACACTTTAGACTTTGAGTATCTCCACAAAAAGTCTGACGGAGTGATATCACACAATCTTGGTGGTCAAGAGACCGACCCAAAACGTGGAGTTATTTGTTCACCGAAGTATTCTCTAAATAAATCCATTGATTGATACCATGTTTGTGAAGAGGCCCCGTCGTGTTGCAACCAAAGGTCGCCGAGATCACGTGCTTCAAATTCAGGCATCAAATAACCGGTTAACAAGGCGCGATAACGCTCGCCATTAAAAGTTCCGTTCTCAACGACGTTATTTTTGAAGAAATATGAACCGATGATTCCACCGGCCCCCAAACCGCACCAAACCGTTCTTTTTTCTAGACTAAATGGCAACTCTTGAATCTCTTCAGGTTGCTCTGCGTCCCAAATACGGTAAATTTAGTTTGTTTACATACTTATTGAGCGAGAAAAGGATGAAATGGGTTTCATCGCTGAAAAAAATTTAGCTCGAATACTTTGGAACCTGAACAAGCTGCTTTTAATTTAAGATCTCGACATAAAATGCGCCAAGCCGTTCTATATGTTAGTCCGACTTGCTGCGAACGGCACCGAATCGACTTTCTGCGTTCTTCGTCTACACTCTCAGTTACGGCCCATCCATTTTCTTTACTGCGTGCTGGACGTGGTCTACTCGGTCGATTATTATCGAACAATGAATACTGGGTTTCAAAATCGGTGAGGGTATTGTGAATAGTATGCTTAGTAGGCCGATTATGTTGACCACAAGTTGAAACCCGCCCGAAATTCGAGGTTCCTCTACTTGGATCACCCGTCATATACCAGAATAACCTTAAATTTGTATATTTCATAGAAGGATAGCTCTTTACGGGAATGGTCTGGTCTGCTAAAGTCAATCATCTGCCAGCTTGATTGGTTCTCTCATATCAGCTGATAGAGAAGAAAGGTGGAATTTCTTGAGCTCTGCTTATTTTTAATAAATAATTTTGTTATCAGTAATTTCGCCAAAGGGTTGGTTTTTTTTTCTCTTGAATGAATAAAAGGTTATAAAAATTTTGCCTCACATTTGGAACATTTTCCCAACGAAAAATACTGTCACGGTTGCATACGTACGTACCACTGGTCACATGTGCAACAAGATGATGCATTTGTCTTGCATGCCTTCGCCAACTGTCAGTGCGTACACATACATATGTACAGTTTTAAACATATTAATTGTAGTTATATCTTAACATATATATATATATATATATATATATATATATATATATATACATATACACATATATAATATGTATGTACATTTACATATATTCAGTTTGGAAGGGCTGAAGAACAGTACTGATCGTACTTACCACATTTAATCTTCATTTGATTCAAACCCACATATACACACACACTCATGTACGCACATATATGTACGCATGTATATAGTACAAAGGAGTGTGATAAAATCCAGCTAAAGCGCTAATGCAGTTGCAGAAATTTGAAGTTTTACAAACACAAACTAAACTGGCATCTTCTCTATAAAGTTTTGTGTGCGTGTGAGTGTGCATGTGTTTGTGTGCATGTGTGTGTGTATGTGTGCGAAACAGTAGATCAAGCCGAAGTATCTTTGTGCTAAATACTCACTTTGGTAATTTTTCATTTCTATGTGACATGTGTATTTCTGCAATATTGCTACTCTTGCTCTTGTTATATTACATACATACATGTGAGTATATAGTTGCATTGACTTTGTTGTTATGTCAGTGAAATATTTTTTTTTTTTCATTTTTTCTTTCGAAACAAAAGATTTATAACACATGCTGTCCTTGTTATTTACTAACTACAGTGACAACAATAAAAATAACAACAACAACAACAACAAAGACAAATACTACATTGCCACATTTTTTTCTGCTCATTTTTTGCAGTAAAAGAAGTAGAAGATTGAATAAACTACAAACAACGCATAAGCGTATACAAATGTTATTGTTGTTTTTGGTTTTTCCTCTTATTGTCGTTTCATGGTGACTTTTTTGCGATTATTTATTGTTTTTTTTTTTTTTGTAGTTTTTTTCAGTTTTTTTTTTTTTGTACTTTTCATTATTGCTAACTACAACACTATTTTTCACATCGAAAAGTAATAATGTGCTCAACATAAAATATGGTTTTCATTTATCAGCTTGCAGTTGCTCCTCTAATAGAAATATGGAATTGTTGTACAAGCACATGGAGGGAGAAAATTTATATAAATTTAGACATATGCATGTGTGTACATATAAATATATATATATACATACTCATGTCACTGTGACATGTTTAAGGACAAAGCGAAAATAAATGCGAATTTAATATGTTAGAGAAATAAGCATGGAAAATGAAAATAGAAGCGATTAAAACGAGAATTAAAAAATAAATTAAAATAAAAAAAAAATATATACATAAAAGTGCAAATTAACAAGGCAACTGTCATTTATTTTAATGCATAAAATTTTAAGGAAATTTCAAAAAAAAATACAGTTATATGCATCAGCCCATACACATAAAACAGCATTCTTACATACAAATACATACGAGGGGCGAGTGCTGAGTTGGCTACCTGAAGCAGCTCGAGATGATATCGGAGCCATTAAGAAAATTTCGGTAAGTTAACAGAATAAAAAACTATTTTTATATTTATTCGTAATCTTTGTCCCTTTTTATTTTTTTATTTCACATAATCGCCAATGATTCATTGCATTTCTTAAGCCTAAAAATCCACTTTTGAAAACAGTCTTCAAAATCTTGCTTTTTAAGCTTATCAAGTTCATCATTGACCACATTAACTATCTCCTCGTTGCTATTAAAGACACTGCCTTTTAAATTTTTTTTTTTTTTTTTTTTTTTTTTTTGAAATAAATATTTTCCAGATCGTGCAGGGCGTATTTCTTCGATCTCAGAGATCGCAATAAAATTACTCGCTTTTTTAGCAGTGTGAAAATTATCTCTCTGAAATGGTGCGTTGTCATGATCCTTCCAACGAGGGATTCTGTTCGACAAATCCTTATTCTTCCTGTTTTCCAACGAATTTTTGAAACTTCTGGTTAGCACTCTTATGTGTACCAGTTTTTAGTTATCGTTTGATCCTTTTTTAGTGAAATACCAGCCACGATTTTAGATCGGGTGAAGTAAGTTGTCATCATTCCTTTAGCAACTGATTTTTGTTGCTTTGATTCTACGGGTGGGTTTTGCTCCTGCTGCACTCCATAGCATGGACTGGACTGTTTGGTTTCTGCATCGTACTTATAGATCCAAGATTCGTCACCGGTAATGACTTTACTAAAGTTGCTAGACTCACCATTTTCGAATTTGTTAAGTAAAAATTGAGCCTCTTTTTTGGGCCTCATTTAAAATTCGTTGCACCCATCGCACAGATTTCTTCGTGTATCCCAGATGATTACTTGATATTCGCGATACATCCATGGCATTGAAGCCCAATTCATTAACCACTTCTGGTGTCAATCATGGGTCTTCGTCAGTTTTGGACTTCGCTGGAACTACAGTGAGGTCATCAGTGGCAGATTTTGATCGACCTTCTCGGCGCTCGTCCGCTGCGGAAAAATATGTGGTCTGGAATCTTTGAAATCACTTAAAAATAGTATTTAAAGACGATACAATCGTTGCATATGCTGTTTGGCATTCACTGTGAATTTTTTTTTTTTTTTTTGGATGTTAGCATCTCCAATTCAGCTGATCATTCTAAGACTTGAAAGGAAGACTAATAAAGTGAATGTTATTAATTAATTACTTGCTAAAGGAAATTAAAATTTGAGGCCAGTATTATGCTCATTTGTTGAGTTAGGCGCGTGTGACTTCTTCAAGACAATCGATCGCCTCGTTTTGTGAGGGATGCCTAAAAAGCTACTGAATTTACAGAAAGCGACTATCTATCCTACAGTCTGAACCTGGCTTCCAGTGTATTAAAAGAAAGTATTTACGGGCGTGGAGATTTTCAGGCGATAGTGAGATGAAAGCGGTGGTGGAAAATACAGAAGTTTACAGAAGTCAAAAGAGTATTCTTTCAGTGGTGTAAAGGCATTGTATTCACGATGTGGAAAGTGCATTTCACTTGAGGGAAACTATATTGAAAGAAGAAACTCATTAAACTAAATATATATATATATATATTTTTTTTTTGCTTAAGTATTTTCAGCCGCGAGCTCATCAGTCGCCTCTCGTACACATGCCAGAGCGCAACGAGGACAATGGGAATAATTGCTTTCGTAAAGTGCATAGGCATGCTTGTAAAATTACTTTTATCTTTGCTCATTAAAACTCACAAACACGTACACCATTCGTTTGTGTATTTGTGTGTGTTTATATATAATTTCAAAAAAATTTAGTTATAAAAACTTTTGCATAAATAAAATTTGTATGTACAAATAATTTTAATAATTGCACCCAACATGTTGCAAAAACTTTTTCGAAAGTTCATTTCAGACGCTTTTCTTCTACAAACATGTATGCAAAAAGAATTATGTAATATCATACATACATATATATACATATTTCAGTTACATAAGCGTTTTGAAGAACCAAAAGAAACTGAGGTGAGGCCAAAATTTATTCAAGAAAGAGAGTTTATTGTGGATCACAGTTTTAGCGCACTCACCCACCTTTTGATAAAAAAGAAAAAAGAGAATTTTCGGATAGTAAATTCTGATTAGTCCATTAAAAAATGAGACACCCTCAATTATGTATGTAATACAGAAACAAAAATATCTTTGTAAGCGATGCATAAGATTTCAATAGTTGTTACCTGTTGACCTTAACGGGGTTAGGTGACCAAAAGGGTGACAGCCATTCGTCATACTGACCCTGAAAGCCCCATTAACGGCGATCTGAATAAATATATTCGTCAAGTTTGCATTCACAAGCTGATTAAGTGCAAACAGCACTTAAGAGGTCAAATCATTGTTAAAACCGAAGACCGGTCGGAAATTTCATTCGGTAATTGCGCCTCGTGGAACCCGAATACGCGAGCTATTTTAGCCGACTTCTCACACTCCACCACATGGTTGTGAAAATGAAGCGACAAGTGACACGTCGCTGCCTGCGCAAACTGCCAAACACCAACGCGACACTTGATATCTCCAGCGAAGATGTTCAGGGTATCATAGGGAAGGTGAATAAGCATGCTGATGTCAAAACATCAAAGACCAGTAGACCATCTCACCAAGGTCCTTAATTTGTGTTCAAGCATGCTGAAAATACCGGACATATGGAAAATGGGTAGGGCGGTTCCGCTACTAAAACCGGCCAACCAAGCCAACAAGGGTTATTTCGGCTGAAGGGTCGGTAGCGCAGACCATTCCGGCCTTACTTTTTCCGACTTTAAAACGTCTGTCAAAAGCTTTTTGACACTCCAAATCGGAAATTGCAGCTATGGTTCAAGAGTTGGACCATGGCATACCTGAGTTATCGACAACCATCGGTAGAGATTAAACATTAAACTCTCCACACTTCTTAAATTCGAAGCTGCATCCCCCACCGGAAGAGGTTTCACTGATCTCACAAGCCACTGATTGCTTGATATACGCGGCTGGCCATGATATTGATGACTTATGTTCAAAAGTGAACAGCTATCACGACAACCTTGCTCACTTCTACACTACAAGACATTCTTCTACTCTAGCTGGACGAAGAAATAGCGGCTTGAACTCGATGTGAAAGTTGATGGCGTAAAAATTTCGACTTTAAACAACCCGAAAAAAGGCCGTACGGTCCAATCGGAGGGGTTGACATTCTCTGCAGAGGGGCGAACGCAATTAGTGAATTGAACGAGCTGGGACTCGAGCTCTTGGTATTCCCGCTGTCAGCACGCAATGCTAATCACTCCGCAATCGTGGTCGTCTAAATGTATATACAGGAGATTTTGATATGGACGAGACGGAGCGGGACGGCAGTTGGAAACTAATTCCGTTTTCAGAAGTATCCGAATAAAAAACTAGCCCTCTATGTACTCGATTCAAACGTTGAGCTATTCTTCAATTTCTTCACAAGACCCGAAACGGTTACAACCAAATTAATTTGTATATCCATTACAATACCAGATCGTTGCTGCCGTCCGATTCTTATCAAGCTTAGTTTCACTTAACTTGCCAGTCCATGAAAAGCTTGAAAACGCACGAGCTCTTTAAATTTCCAAACACCCTCGCGGCCCTTTGACTTATCCAAAGCTGATGTCCATGAAATTCTCTTTATACAAAGGGTCTTAAGTAAATAAACTTGTCAATAAGGCGAAACGAATGGATCTAGTAGAAATATCTCCTCTTCATGACAAACAGTCAGCTGACATAACGCCACCAAGAACCAGCATTAACACCAACAACAATATCATCCTTGAAATCCAACGCAAAATAACTCTTGCCAACAGGTTCTAATTTGGACTAAGTAGACAATTGAAAAGTAAAGTCCTCTCCCGACGAACGAGGACCTAACTCTACAAGTCGTCGTCTTTATATATGGTGCAGAATCTCGGACGATGTCGACATCCGATGAAGCAGCGTTGGAAGGCTTCGAGAGAAAAGTTTTGTGGCCGATTTAGTAGGGAGTACCGCAGACGATGGAGCAATTACCTATCCGAGTTATATGAATTAAGAGACAGTGGAAGGATTAGATGGAGAGCGATGTTGGTATTTCCAACTGGTGCCAAAGAGAGAAGAAAATTACCGATTAATGACACAGCTGTAATCGTTTTAGCGGTGCCCACGCCAATAAAGAGGAGGAATATAAGCAAATGAAAAAGAAGTCGCCCAAAATCCCGTAGATTCTATATGTGCCTAATCAGTATGAAGCCAAGTTACAATCTCATTCCTGCCCTATCAACTTAAATTACAAATACATTAATTCCAATTTAATACCGATTTCTCCCGAAAAAGTGGAAATGAGAGCCAACAGAAATTAAAGGAAGAATAGACAGCATTAAATTGATTTCCCATAGCACAACACAACATCACTTGGCAATGAGACAGACCGACCATCGGCCAGAAAAAGTAATAAATAGTGTTAATTTGCAAGTTACTGACTGCCAACTATCCAAGCAACAACAAAAAACAGCAAACAAATATATTAGAAATAAATGGGTTCAGCAGCACTGCGAGCGCTCTTTTGCGTGTATCAGCTGCCAAATCAAGTGGATTCAACTGAAAAAGCAAGTGGCAAAAATCAATCTCCACCGACACAATACAGCCGACTGTTTTGGCAATTGCCAACGCGCAAATGAATTAAATAAGGCGGCTATAAATTTTAATTTCAAACTAAACTTTTGCTGGCACATAGCCATAGTCAAGCAGTCCAGCAGTCCAGCAGCTCAGCAGCTCAGCAACTCAGCTACTGAGCCACCGAGATAACAAGAT